TCCGTAAACGTTCTGCGAAAGTTCCGGTGAATTGTCTGAGTTAGTCGTCTTCCAGGACCAAAAACCTACAATCAGTGTGGTACGTACCGCTCGTGATGACAAAGATTTGGAGAATCTCGATATCAGTGAACCGGCAGATATCGAGTTTCAATCAGGCGATGTTACTGTACATGCTTGGCTTTATATGCCGAAGGTGAGTTGCGATCATTGTTGGCCCATCAGGGCATATCAGCTAAATTTTTTTCGTTTCCCCACTTTTTCAAAAAACTCGTTCTAGAATCGTAACTATGTGGCACCAGAAGGAACACTACCACCTGTTCTTTTGGTAGGACATGGCGGCCCCACCGGAATCTCTACAGACGCTCTAGATTTGAAGAAACAGTTCTTTACCTCTCGTGGATTTGCTGTATTGGATGTCAATTATCGCGGGTCTACTGGATGCGGTACAGAATTCCGAAATATGTGAGCATTTGGTAGCACTTTTTGTCGATCTGTAATCATATACACAATTTTGACTGAAAAGAGTTGATTGCAAACCAGTAGCCCATTTTCTTACAGGCGGGAAGGGCTGCTGATTACAAGTGATTTTTTCTTGAATATTTCTTTGGCCACGTTCCCTTAGCTTTCCCTGCAAGAATACATTCCCAACTGCACATACTTATTCTTCCAGGCTGAAAGGACAATGGGGTTTGGTTGACCGTGACGATATGATCGCCGCTGCACAAGCAGTAATAGAAAGAGGTCTGGTGGATCCTGAGAAAGTGTGCATTAAAGGAAGTTCAGCTGGAGGGTAAGTAATACAAAGACTCAAAAAGATGACTTGTGCACAAATTACGTCTACAGTCTGTCTCCAAGACAGTGTCGTTCGCAACAGCGGCTCAGGTTTGCATGTCCCCCTTGCTTTTAGCTTGCGTCGTTTTTGTGGAGGTATTCGTCTGGACGTTATTCACGCCTCAATGGTGATTGTGTTTGGAGGATACGATCGTAGACGTGGTTTCAAGCGGGCGGACGCGCAAACTTGAGCCTTTTGCAAGCGACACTAACACTGACATAACCTGCACCTCAATATTCATTTTCATTCCATTTTATCACTACATACTTTTTACATACTTCCAGATATCTTGTGTTATCATCTTTATTACATTCCGACGTGTTTAAAGCCGCTGTTTCTATATATGGTGTGGGCGATCTCGTTGGACTTGCTAAGGTAAACACCCTTGATGTACTCACCTGTCCCTATCGCCTTACTAAGAAACAAGTTACGCGATATAGAGCGGTTACATTATTTTTTAGGATACTCATAAATTCGAACGCGGCTACAATGAAGTACTAATAGGCAAGTACCCGGAAGATAAGGAAGTCTACGAGGTAGGCTACCCCTAAATAAAGTGGCTGTTCAGTATCATTTACCCGAAACAAATACAGGTATTTTCAGGCGCGTAGTCCAATCAACCATATTGATCGTCTACGAACACCTATTGCATTCTTGCATGGTAAAGAGGATACGGTAGTGCCTGTAAGCCAGAGTATCGAAATGTACGATAAACTACGAGAGAAAGGTGTTACGACAGCATTGATGCTGTTTGATGGTTAGTTGATTTTTGTTGTTTTTGCAAATATAGTATCCACCTGGGTTCTAGACGAAGGACACGGTTTTCGTGGTGCAGACGCAGTGCGAAGAAGCTCAGAGGCTTCATACGTGTTTCTATGTAAAGTACTTGGCATAGAGCCGTCCATATCATCAGATGTAAGTCGCATAATTTTTTT